CACCAGCACCCCATTCCAAACTTCTAGATACGCCACGGATTGAAAGGAAGACGTGACCTAATTTGTGTAGGCCTGTCATTTTATGAATCATTCATGAAATGCGTTGAAGTATAGTAGAAAGAAATGAATAAATGAATTTATAATATAATATTTAGGCCTAATAATTCTATGTAAAGCAAATAGATAAGCAATCATTGGAAAAATCTTCAGTAATGCAAAACTACAATCATCCATTTTTTTTTATTCATAAAGTAATTTTATTCTTCAATCTCGTTTGTTTGGTTTTTTTATTTTTTTTAAATTTCTTTAGTCTAGTTTTTATTCCGAACATTTTAAACCTGTAAATTCTCCATTTTAATAGGCCTAACCCTTGTTTTATACTGATTTTTATTTAATATTCTAATTGTTAAATAGTATAAATTTTAGCTCATAATTGTAGGCCTATTATTTGCGAATTTGGATGGATGTGAATGCTTGCACTGCGAAAGCAATATTAATAAATAAAAACTTGAATAAATAAATAAATAGCTTCATGAAGCATAAAATAGCTTTAGCTTATTATGAAACATTGAAATCTATGATGTAGGCTGCTAGTCAAAAGCCTTAATATATAATATAAAATTGCTTTAGGAAGCATTGAAATAGCTATCAAATAGGTGGTAGCATAGAATACGGTAGCTTTTAATGAAGCATAAAATCTTTTATATTTATGAATTATGCATTATTATGCAGTAGGCTGCTGTCATAAAATAGCTGTATACAAAGCATTGAATAGCTATATTCCGGGTCAAAAGCATTGAAATTGCTTTAGGATGAAGCATTGAAATAGCTAGCTGCAGTGCTAGCATAAAATAGCTTTATGAAGCATTCAAATAATAGTAGGCTGCAGCATAAAAACTATAAACAAAAAATTGGAATAGCTATACTGTATATTGGTCAAAAACATTGAAATTGCTTTAGGAAGCATTGAAATAGCCATCGAATGGCTGGTAGCATAAAATAGCTTTATGAAGCATTGAAATAGCTATAGTGGCTGCTAGCATAAAATAGTTTTACGTCAAAGCATTGGAAAAGCTACTGTTGGTCAAGCGCCAATGAAATTGCTTTATTTTAGGAAGCATTGAAATAGCCCTAAATATCGTGGTAGCATAAAATGAAGCATTGAAAAAGCTATAGTAGGCTGATAAAATAGCTTTGGAAAACTGTAGAGTAATTGTCTACCACAGAATGGACCTTTCCAGAGGTGTCAATAATTCGAACTTATTTAACAGCTAACCAATTAGAACACCGTTAAGATTTGTCTCCAAAAACACACGTGGGTCCCACAAACGCATCTGGCCTATGTGTTTTATAGCAAGCAAAAAGGGCAGATAACAGCTAGAGCGCTGTAACATACTACGTCGTACGATAGGCTTCCTCTAGCTATTTTTTATTGCTTTGTTGCGCTATTTTATGCTATTTTAACAGCCTACTATAGCTATCTCAATGTATTACTTTAAAATGAACTTAAAGTGTCAAGTGAAATAAATGGTTGTTATTAAAGAAAAGTCAATTTTGAATCTGCTGCCCTCTTGGTTAGATTTCCTGTCATTACAGGGGCAGAACTTTCAATCAAAAAGAAATTAAAGAATTGAATTGTTCTTTCAACAACAACAAAAAAAAAAGATATTAACTTTGATAAAAATTAAATAGATCTAAATTACATTTCACTCATTTTAAGTTTTAATACAAAATCTTAAATTGATAACAAGTCGTCCGTCTGCAAAGCCTTTTTTTGAGAACGATTTATTGTGCGTTCCTTAATTACAAAGGATTTTCTCTTTCTAATTCTTTATTTAAAGCTAGACCTATACTTACATAATAATGGAAAATAAATATTGAAGTTTTATTCTTAATTTTAGCTAATATCACAGACTTGAATGAATGTGTAGACTAGATCAGGTCGATTCATATTTCGCTCTAATTATTTCAAAAATTAATGTCATTCGGTCAATGGCCGATATTATGAACCCGGTCCATAGAGTACCAAAATTGAGCCTAATGAGAGCAATGTTTTCTAATAATCAAACATTATCTTCAGGGAAAAGCTTTAAGCTGCAAAAGGCATGCAGTAATTATGAATGTTCTTATCCGAATGATATTCCTTCCACGAAACGAGGAAGCTAATAAATTCAATTGAATTGATTTTTATATAGACCAAAAATACAGTTTCACTTATTCATTCGTCCGTCCGTCCGTTCGTTCATTTATTCATCTGTTTGCTCATTCATTCGTCCGTCCGTCCGTTCGTTCGTTCGTCAACCAAACAATCTGACAAGAAATAAATAAATAATTTATTCACATTCATTCAACAATCAGTCAACAATTTCGTTTTTCAATCTTCATGTCAAAGTTTCACTTGTGTGTGTGTGGGGGGTGGGTGGGTGGATATTTTAATTTACGAATCTGATGTATACGATCCTTGATTTCTGTCACGTTCGATACTATCGACTATAAACAATTCTCGATTTCAACTGTCATCCATACAATGTAATAAGTACCACTTGGCCATCTAGGCCTATAGTGGTTCATATTGATAAACCGATTAACATATTTTAGTCTTCTTAATGTAAAATAATTGGGACAAGTTGATTAAAAGACACATAACAGAATGCAGCTTCTAATTATTCTGTGCACTAGAGACATAAACCCCACGCTGGTTGATAATCAAGGGATCGTACAGGGCCCTGCGCATCATAGACGTTACGTCACTGGCAATGCATAAAGTATTTTAAGTGGTTGTAGTTAGGTCTATTAAAAGAGGCTGAGGGCTGAGAGCAATGTGGGAAGCGAGAGGTAAAGAGAGTGAGGCTATTGAGACCAAGGAATACAGAGGTTCTATGATATATTTTTGACTTTAGGCCTATGCACCGTGGCCGAGGGTCATGTTGTGTTCTTAGCTATGTCGAGGATGTGCACACAGTGTCATGTTTATCAGGGGCGGATTTGGAGGGGGAGGCCCGGGCCGGCCCCGGTCCTCCCTTTTTGGTAGGTAAAAAAAAAGAGAAAAAAGAAAAAAAAAAAATAAAATAAAAGAGAGAGAGAGAAAAAGAAAAAAATGATCGCCGAAAATGCACCAGAGGTTACTTTCGGCGTCTAGAACAAACATTTCGCCGGGGGATGCCCTCGGACCCCCTAACAGTGTTATCACGACTGGCCCCACTTTCGCCTCCCCCCCCCCCATCTTTTTCGGACATCTCTGGATCCGATGTATATTTAGGTAAAAGCCGGGCACTCACTGCGTGTCGTACGACGGTTCGGGCGACGAATCCAACTTCGCTCCCAAACGTTAAGCCCCTCTCCCATCTAGGTTTATTTCACCTAAGAGTCGTACGATTTCTACGAGTTATAACTCGTGATCTTTGGAAAGGACCTATACGAGCTTATTACGTGTTAGCTACGAGTGAGGTACGACTTTATGGAGTTGGTTACGAGTTATGTACGAATTATGCCGAGCAGAGCACCGAGTTAACTACGAGATTATTACGAGCGTAACAAGTTTGTACCGAATTAGATACGAGTTAGGTACGAGCCAACTCGGTGCGCTCGTACTTACTCGTACTCTTTTTTGGGTGCTCGCATCAAACTCGTAGATGACAAAACCGACGACGAGTATCCGGAGTAGTGTACGAGCTAGGTAGTAGTACCCGGGTACTCTACGAGCTACGCACGAGTTCTTCGAGTTTACTACGAGTTATCTACTCGTGGCGATAATTTTGAACATGTACAAAATTAGCTGCTACGAGTAGGTAAGAGTCCTCTCCGAGCTTTCCGAATCGTCCTACGAGTTTTTGCCGAGTATTGCTGAGTTAGCAACTCGGCATTCTCTTGTAACTCGTATGCTGAAGAAACCCCTAGTGGGAGAGGGGCTTTAGACGGCATCGATCCGTTGCGTGCTGTACGAGTCGTCCGACGACGACCGTCAGGTGCAGCGAGTGCGGCATTATTCTGTTATACAAGTTTTTTAGGTCTACGACAATTAGGCCTATTTTTATTATACTGTATCATTTAGGGGTTATCTCTGTTTATGAATCATTAACATATTTTTACTAAAATAATAAAATAAAATAATAAAATAATTACGGCCGAAGTTTACACGGTGTGATATTTATGTACTTCTGAAAGCCATGAGTATAAATAACAAAATTAGCTTTCAATACAAACATCATACACGGCAGGGCTTATATGTGTGTTGTTACCACCCCTAGGGTAATGTTGGTATACACAGATTAAGTGGTAATTCTTTAAGCATGGATAAATCACGTCTATGATAAAGTAGGTCAGTGATTATTGTAAACACAGTCGAGACCATCTATTGCGGGCCGACAAACTCAATACAGTACTGTAATGTGTAATTATGCCATAACAAACGATACCGTACATATAATACAATACCATACTAATGCTCTTCAAAATTGGTGTTGTCAATTGATTCCGACAGTCTGCTAAAATGAATCAGGAACGGTGTTGCCATCAATACAGGTATTCTCTATTTCACATCAAACACGCAAGTTCACGCGACAATTAGGCTATCACAGAATGCAACTATACATCATCTATTGTGCTCTGGTTAATTTTATTGTCGGAATGTGTCAATTAAAAACAAAGCTTGAAAGTATAACAATATTAATTTAGTTCGATATGTGTTTGCGTCAGAAAAATACCATACGACTGATGTTTTGCCCTCCTGACGTGTTTTCTTACCGAATCAGTACACTTGCGAAAAAAAGAAATTGCAAGTTATTCGGGATAAATAGTATGTACTAGTGACTAGACCACCGAGCTTGCGCCTAGTGTTGAATCTGATCCCCAGTAGCAGCGGGTACTACAATGTTTGTACTATATGTTTGTACTGCAAAGAACATTTAACATGTATTATGTATGCGAAAAAGACGAACTTGAATCTACAAAGCCGAAACACACTGCGTCGCCGAAAAAAAAAATCGCCGGTGGTTTGAATTATGCGACGCGCAACAACGCTATTCCACTGACCGTCAATGACAGTCGAGCGTACCGTCGTTACAGTGCACGCCACACCATGGCCTGTATTACAGCAATCAAATTACGAAGAGAAAAGGATGTTTATATTTTACCAGGCAAAGATCGCAAAATGCAGATTAAATTAAGAAATCTGCTAATATCCAGACACTGAATAACGAATTGACGAAAGCTGGAACGAACTGTAGTCTTTATAGTGATGTTATCATTATTATTATAGTTCTATATCACTGAGACTAATGCGGCTACACCTTTTATTAATCATGAATAACGAATATAATTTTTTAAATAATAATAGGGGGCCTATATACCCAAAGCTCATTCATTCCATCCCTAAAACCGTTTTACTTTAGCCACTTAAAGCTCTGTCACATGTTTGTTAATGTCTCATTTCTCATCTATTAAGGAGATCAAATGCGTTGAATAAGCTAACCACATTTTTTTTTCTTGATTTGCAACATGTTTTTCTGGATGAAAAATAGAAAGTACACAAATGTCATTAGTTTATACGCATTCACTAAGTAATTAAACGTATTTTCATAGAGTAGGCATAGTTCTGTCAGTTACGCTTACAAGGATATGAAAACACTTATAACACAGCAGTGCTCACTATCAGACATGGCCTTCGGCGAAAATTCCGCTCGAGCGGTGCATGTGACGCCACTGAAAACAATCCGTCGCACGCGCCTCGTCGTCGTTAATCGTGTCGACCTAACAGTATGCTTCGCCGTAAACAATACTATTTATACTACACAAAAAGGAATCTGATTTTTATGTATGTTACCATGGTAGCAAAGTAGCAAATAAAACAGTTGATTATACTACTTTCCAATAAGGCAAGCAAGTAACAGAAATCCGATGTCTAACTGATATGAAAAACAAAACAAATCTCATAATTTTGTACCCTCCAGGAAATCACTTACATGCTTGTTGGTTTATTTCTTGAAATATTACTAGGACCACATAATCCAATTAGAACTTACCAGGATATCATTATGCTTAGTACTTGCAGACGATAAAATGAACACAACTTCAATATGACGAAACTTATCATTGGATTGTAGTCACCCGCAAGCTATCATTATGTTCTTTTCATATAAATAAGTGCATGTTATGTTTGTGTGGCCTACTTTCTTCAAACCTTACTTTCGCGGTTCTATGACACTTCTAATACAGATTAAATCACTGAAGTATTAAGTCAACAGTTACAACTGAAATAATGTTGAATTCAACCTTTACAAATATTTCTTTTACATAAATAATTGTTTGATATGGTTTAGAATTTCAGAAGGCTGATTATTTAACAAATTATATTTATTTTAGACTTAAATACGCAAGTAGAACAAGGGAGGTTCAACAAAAAAAAACAAAAAAAAAACCGTGATCAATGCTCTCTTTTAATAATGACCTGTGCTTGGAAATAAACAGGCATCCGAAAGCTATAAATGCGATTCAAAAATACATTCCTTCTACCTCAAAATGTTAATGATACTTGCTAACAGAAGTGATCAAAGGGTGGCTTAAGTAGTCCACTTGTCCAGTAGCCACAAAATCAACCAGCCTAGTTAAGAGAATACAAAATGCTTGGCACACAACAGGTTAGGTCTCACCAAACCTGTCCATTCAAATCATAGGCTGTCGTCAAAAGATACTGAACTGCCCCGAAATATCAACAAATGTCTCAAAGATAAATGTATACATAGGCCTATGTATTTACAGTATATCTCCTCCTCTCAGATACTTTTAATTAATAATAAAATTGGAAAAAGTGAATTTAATCACTGTCTTCTTGTAATATAAGTGCCAATCCTTTTGACAAGTAAAAAATATATCTGGCACTATTTCCTCTATTTAATGTTAACTAATTTAAGATTCAAAAACACTTTATTGTCCCATTTTAAAATAGAAAATTTGTATACTATGAGAATTTTGTAAGTTGTGTGTATTTATAATGCCATTATCTCTTAAAATTGCTTTTTTCTTAAATTACTGTATACACGATTTTGCAAAAAATACTGGAGAATGGTACAAATCAAGCAGTGAACATTTTCATACCCTGGATGGAACATTTCCATAATAAGGTTAAAGTCATCACTATTATGTTTTTTCACAAAAATAGCACAAAAGAGAAACGATACAAATCAACTCAATGCCAGTTTTTTGGAGAAAGGTACAAATCAAGCAGTGCATATTTTCACATTCTGGATGGAACATTTTCATACTAAGGTTAAAGTTCATTATTAATATGTCAGTACACAATTTGGTTATAATTGTCTTGCATCAACAAAATATACCTAACAATACAAATCCACTCAACATCAGTTTTTTGGAGGAAGGTACAAACCTAGCAGTGCATATTTTCATACTTTCATGGATGGAACATACTAAGGTTAAAGGTTAACATTTTTATGTAAGTAGACAATTTGGTTATTATGTATGAAAAATCTGAAACTTTTGCCACAAAACATTGAATATTATATGATATTATTCTGATATCTCTTCACAACAACACACAGAGAAACAATAATATTAGCCAAATATTACTTTATATATATTCATCCATATATTTTCACTGTTTTGTTTGCTATTTATAGCATCATTACATCATTCTAGACTACATCATGTGTTTGAGGTCATCGAGTAGTTATCGGTGTTGAGTTGGTCTAGGCCTAGCTCTTCTATCTGTTCAGCTGTCCTTGTGTACTTTCTCACTGTTAGTTCAGGGTCTGTTTCTGGTGCATACAAATTCTGCAATGCAGGAGAATCAAATTAAATAAACAATATAAATAGAAAGGAAAACTACTGGTAAACAACAATACTGCGGGAACAATGACTGGATCTCAGTAGACATGCAAAATTGATAAGCAAGAGCTAAAATGTAAACATAAGTTAAGAGCCAGAAATAGAACCAATGGGTTTTCAAACTACATAGTCCTTCCTCAGTGGCAAGTGAGTGAGGGTAGAAAAAGTCATATAGTATCAGGGCGGATCCAGAGATATGTCCGAAAGGGTGAACCGAATGTGGGGTCGAACGAGAAAACACAACCCTAGGGTGAAATATATATATATATATATATATATATTTGTGTGTGTGTGTGTGTATGTATATATGTGTATATATGTATATATGTGCATATATGTATATATATGTACATGTATATATGTGCATATATGTATATATATATGTATATATGTATATATATATATATGTATATATACTTGATAGGTCATTGTGCTCACTTATCTTTTTATCTATGCATATATTCTGCCTTTAGCCTTTATAGTCTGCCGACTCACTTTGGACTTAACTATTATTTTTCAAATTGTATATTACCACTCCACATTTATATGTACTGTATACATTGGTTGAATAGGTAAAGTATAAAAATACAGGTTAATGAAAATGCCTAAAAGTAAGTTAAGACATTGAGTTTGTTTTTACCTGAATATAGCTATTTCCAGCAGGGTCATTCAGTATAATGTTAACTTTCAATTCTCCAGTAATGACCTAGAAATACAATATCATTTTTATATATTCTATCATTCATTCAACGGGTTTGTAATAAAGACAGTATCAATTTAAAATGCAGTCACTAAGCAGTTGTATAACATGGGCCACACTATTAATATACAACTGAAAAATTGAAATAAATATTATGTCAAAGAAGCAGGGGTGGCGCCAGCGGGGGTTGGGGGACCGTATGTATTTACTACATATAATAGACTTAATAGATTAAATAAGTCTTTGAAACCCCTAAATTGTCAAAATTGCGAAGCCCACTGGACCACTTTCGAAACATTTTTAAGCGACGCTCATCTACAACCACGGACCCCACCTCGGGGAAATCCTGGAGCCACCCCTGCAAAGAAGCTAGAAAACATGCTCTACTTGAAAATATCACTGGAGAAACATATAAGACCACAAAAATTCACAAAGCAATTTTTTCATCATTTTGCTAATATTAAAGCATTATCAGGAAGCTATTGATCATTGTGGTAGTCCCACACTTTATGTGATACTTTTAGGTGGGTGTCCATTAATTTCAAAGACCTTGAAATTTCATTTAATTTTGTTTAGCTGTAATGTAGAGTGTAATTAGATCAATATTTAGATGTGACATGCTATTACTAAAATAGGCAATTTATATTATTAATAATAATGCAAGTCTTAGTTGGGCCTCTGCATTAATTTAAAAAAACCTTGAAATGTCCTTTACTTTTGTTTACCTATAATGTAGATTATAATTAAATCAATATTTAGACCTACCATTACTGTTTAAAATAAGTACAATAATATAATAATAATGATTATTATTATGATGCACGTCTTATAATGCACAATACAAAGTTGCCTCAATGCATCTCCTCTTAAGCTCTTGGTGAATTGAGTCTTGAACGAGATAACGAAATCTTTCTAATGACTCAAGTTACTGTACATTTTTACATTCTTAATAAAAACAATTTCTTCTAATCTTAAATACATTTTCCCACGATAATTTACCATCACGCATTTGTGACTTGTGCTAAATGCGTGACAAGGTTATGATCACACGTGTTTCTGCAAAATGCGTGTTTCATCCAAAATCACTTTGAAATGCGGAACCGTCCTGCACGATGCGAGACGGTAACTATGAGAGTGTGCACTTAAGGGTGGGGGAGGAATAACAGCACTCTCTTTAATATTTAGAAAATATAAATGACCCCGTTAAAAAATATACTACATAGCATAGTATGATCTGGTGGATACATTGCTAAATTTTGGCAGTAAGTTTTGGCTGATATAAGAAATTTCACCAACAACATTAGTACTGTATATAAATAATCATTTGCTCAGTGGTAAAGCGGCTTGCCTTCTAATCCCAGGGTCCTGGGTTCAATTCCTGTCACACTCCCTAAGCCTCATTAAGAGACTTAATTTATAAAATAATAATTCTCATCCTGTAAGTGGCAAGTGTACTTGGTGTCGGATGTAAAGAAAATTTAAAAAAAATAAATAAATAAATAAAGAGAAAAGCTTTGTCAATGTTCGAAAGTCAAGAGTATTAGGAAATAACATTTTGTATGTTTCCCTTCAATATTAGTAAATGCTTTTAGCATACCTTATCTAATTGGCTCAGGAATTTTGTCATCTTCGTGTTATCACTCATTCGGGAGCTATCACCAAGCTGGAAAGTGTTTAACATACTAAGTTGTCCTTTAATATCTGTAAGGAGGCCCTCTAGAGTCGTAAACTTGCCGCCAAGTGTACCGCTGCAAAGTTCAAAATCCAAGGCTGGGATCTTCACAGTACAAGTTTCAGACTGAAGGTACAAACGAAGCAAGTAATGTAGTGTTCATTGGGCGAGACTTTTTTTTATAATAATAATAATATGTCGGTCTTATATAGCGCTTCATGCATAAAGCCTCTAAGCGGTTCACATTACTACCCCGGTAACTGAATCAAACATGTATGGAACACATACTGTACTCAGCTCCCTGGGGATAATTCCATAATATTGCAGCTAGTAATCAGCGCAGTTGTGTTTGAACCTACCAGGTACCCACTTGTACTCCTGGGTGGAGAGAGGCAAATGTAGGTAAAGTATCTTGCTTAAGGACACAAGCAATGCAAAGAGCGTTGGTCTCTAACTCCCGATCCTGCGATCAGAAATCCAACGCCTTACACGCTGCGGCACACGCCCCCTTACCTTGTTCAACAAACCCGCTGTCTGCCAATAATAATGATTTCCATTAAATAAAATTTTATTTTTGGCCAATTAGCACACCTGCCACCACAAAAAAATAAATTTTAGAAAAAAATTAATGTTTTTCTTTATTTTTATTATGTCCATCGCAGAATTGAAATCTCCAAAAATAAGATTTGTATATTTCCTAATTACAATATATTTTTATTTTTATTTTTTTATTTTATAACGTTGAAAAATACCCCGTTTTGTGCAATCAACATGACCGTAAGGAACATGAAGTAAACACTTACTGCGGGTACGAGTCGGGATGTTTAAACTGAACATAGGAACAAGAGGACAATCATAAATGGAATTTAAAGACTTATATAAAAAAACCATGTCAAAAATAATTCTACGATTTTCAAGAGACATAAGAAAGACATTATAATTGGGACAAGTATGACTAAGAAACCTAATAAACTTATTCTGAACATTAGAAATACGCTGAGCTTGTGTAAAAGAAACTGAACTAAAAATAACAGAACAATATTCCAAATGGGGGCGCACAATTGAACGGTAAAGAGATACTAATGTCTTGCCATTTTTCAAACCTGCAATTCCTCCATAATAAACCAAGCATTTTGTTTGATTTTGACACAACAAAATTAACATGTAAACAAAAATTTAACTTATTATCAATTAAAACACCTAAATCTTTATATACAATTAAAGCATTTAACCACTCATTACTACACTGTTTACATTAACCAATCAAATTTATTTTAATTTTGTCCTCCGTTTGGATATTTTTGGCAAAACTATTTGCTAAATAAGAAAAAAAAATTTTATTTTTATTTCTTTTTCCGCCCTCTGACAATCTTTAAAAAAATAAATTCACGAAACAAGGTATAAACAAAGTCTCGCCTAGCATAAAAAAACATAATACATATGTAATAATGATCAGAGAGCAGCTTAACTTAGTCGGCTAAACTGGTGGTAGCCACTGTGTGTGCGCTGAACCGTGGAGATCTTTTAGGCCCCGGTTCAATTCCCATCACTGTTCCCATTGTGTTTCAGCTGGAGGGCTGAAACACAAGCTACAATAGCGCACAGTCTTTCGGATGAGATATTTAAGCCGTTGCGCAAAATGGCCCATGAACATGTTAAAAAATTCAGTACACTCTTCGCCCTAAATTACCACCAGAAGGACAATACTGGAAATAGTCTTCTTTGGGCTTTCATAGGCTATCCATTATATTTACACCAAATAAATCTATCCATAATGATGATAGACAAGAATGGATGACGATGGTGGAAGCAGCGACAATGACAATGAGGACGATGACAAAGACAATGATAAATATAACAATAATAATATAATAATGAATGCTTTATTTGCAATAGGATTATTAATTTATTATATTAAAACAAGTCTGATTGATTAAGTACCTTAAGGATATCTCTGTTGAGGTCAATAGGGTCGGTGATGTTGAGAATGATTTCACTTCCCTCCGGGTCCCGGTTGATAATTTAATTTTAATTCAGCGTTGAATTAATGTTGACATTTGGTTGATAATTTAACAATTACAGTACCAACATGTTTTCAACATCTTTTAAACGTCAAGTTAAAATATAGTTTGTATTTCAATGTAGAATCAACGTTGAAAATGTGTTATGTTTTTCAACCAGAATCGTATTGTTTATTCAACATTTTTCTATGTTAAATAAACGTTGAAAATATGTTGAGATTCTAATGTTACAGTAACTACGTAAGTTCAACATCTTTTCAAAATATAGTTTGCATTTCAATGTAGAATCAACGTTGAAAATGTGTTACGTTTTTTAACCAAACTCCTATTGTTTTTTGAACGTTTTTTTAATGTTAGATACACGTTGCAAATATGTTGAGATTTTAAAGTTAGTGTATCAACATAAGTTCAATGTTTTTTCAATGTGAAGTTTTTTATACAACTTCATTTCAACATTGAATTCACTTTGAAATCTGGTTGAGATTTTAACATAACAATTACAATGTTTATTCAACATTTTTCCCATGTTAACTCTAAACATAATTTTTATTTCTATGTAGAATCAACATTGAAAATGTGTTGTGTATTTTTACAATGTATCCATTACTTACTTAATGTTATTTCAACAATAAATAAACGTTGAAAAATGGTTTAGATATTGAAATTACATTAACAACATTAGTTCAACATCTTTTTAATATAATGTTAAAATATAGTTTGTATTTCAACATATAATCAACCTTTAAACTATGTTATGTTTTTCTGCCAAAAACCTATAGTTTATTCAACGTTTTTTCTACGTTAAAAATATGTTGATATTTTAATGTTACAGCGACAACGTTAAGTTCAACATTTTTACAACATCAAGTTAAATTATAGTTTGTATTTTAATGTGAATCAAAGTGGAAAAAGTGATATGTTTTTCAACCACAATCCTATTGTTTATTGAAAAATGTTGAGATTTTAAAGTTAAAGTATCAACATAAGTTTTTTTTTTTTTTTATATATTTTTTTACTCAACTTTATTTAAACATTGAATTCACTTTGATATCCGGTTGACATTTTAACATAACAATTGCAATCAACATTTTTCCAACGCTAAATTTAAACATAGGCCTGCCTTTTTCAATGTTAATCATTGTTGAAAATGTATTGTGTCTACAAAGCACCCATTATTTACTCACCGTTGTTTCAACAATTGATAAATGTTAAAAACTGGTTGAGATATTAAAATTTTGGTAACAACATTAATTCAAATCTTTTTCAATTTTAACGTATAAGCAACATTTAAAATAAGTTGTGTTTTCAACTCAGAGTTTAAGATTTTACCAAACTTTATTTCAACAATGAATTCACTTTGAAATCGGATTGCGATTTTAACATAACAATTACAATATATTTATTCAATATTTTTCCAACGTTAAATTTAAATATAGTTTTTATTTCAATGTAAAATCAACATTGAAAATGTGTTATGTGTTTCAAAGTAGGCCTAACCATTATTTTTTCAATATTATTTCAACAATAAAAACGTTGAAAACTGGTTGAGATATTAAAATCACAGTAACAACATAAAGTTCAACATCTTTTCAATGTCAAATTAAAATGTCGTTTGT